TTTTGTCCTCTTTCTTCTCCATGTCTCTTCTTTCGATCTTTCTCTCCTTCATTTTGTTGGATCGATTTAACAATATGGAGTGAAAAACACGCAGCGGAATAGCTTAAAATAGAGAGAAGAAATAGTGGAGAGAAGATAAAAATATATTACTCATTCAATCAACACAAATATATAAACTCACTCAAGAACTCTCTTATTTCTCTCTAGAATATTTCTTCTTGTTTTTTGACTTTTTTCAACTACATAGACTATTTGTAGGATTTTCCTGGCATGTATCTAAACAAATACATGAACATACACTTAATAATATTCTTCCTCCATAGCATTATACATGAATCTCTCCAAAAGACACATTCATGTATTTTTCCGCATTCATGAATTCTAGATAATTCTAGAATCTTCAATACTTTGAACTTGATTAATGAATCAAGCTTATTCATTTGCATCACACTTATTCTTCTTCTCGTCGTCGGTTTCTTCATGGGTAACGATTGGAGTCAGTGGCGTATCCACTGTGGTCCTAGGGTGTGCAACTGCACACCCTTGATTTTGAAAAAAAAATATTCCCTATATATTTATATATTATATAACTGTAAATGTAGAAATTGCTGAAGAGATCTTGTAGCTGAACTGGTAGGGATCTCCCTTCAAATACAGAGAGTTGCAGAGTTCGAGACTCAGATTGAACCATTTTATTTGGAATATTTCAAAGTTTTTTTGTATTTCTAATATATATAATATTTCAAAAAATCAAAATCTCCTAATAAAACATATATTTTGCTATTTTCAACTTTAATTTCCATTCCTTTAATATTTTATATAATCTACATTATTCCAAAATTCTTATAATATTTTATATAATCTAAATTATTCCAAAATTCTTAATTTTATATATATATGCTTGTTATTTTTTTATTTCTAATACATATAATATTTCAATTGTTTTCAAATTTTTTGAATATGTGAGTATTTTTGAATATTTCAAAAAATCAAAATCTCACAAATATATAATATTTCAAT